ATATGCTCCAACTTTAGGGGGATTGTTAAAGGGTATTTAAGTCTTTTATGTAATACCTAGGGTTTCCTAAGTTTTTATTATAAATAGTGTGAGAGACTAACACAATAGTTAAGCCTTCTTATTCTTTTACTTCAAAAGAACTTTTCCTTGATTTGGGACAAGAAAAGGACTTTTCAAGAATTTAACAGAATAAAATGGGAAAAATCCATTAGTGCCCTACATAACCCGCCAAAATATGCTAACCAGATTCCAAAATAGATAACATAGCTACAGAAAGTTACCTCTACGGTCTATGCAGACTATGCAGAACCATTGGATAGAGTGACGTTCAAGGTTGTGCCAAGATGCAATCTTACTAACTTGCCAGTTCTCTATCCCAGGGAATACTTCTCTGTACATTGGAATATTAGCAAGAATCATCTTCGCAACACCATTTCCTTGAGAAAGTGTCTCTCCATTCTCCTTCAAACTCGTGTGCTCCATTTGCTTGTTATGTTTCCCATTCACCTTGGGAATCTGAATGCTGCCATTGTGGAATTGAAAAGTATCTTCACCAATCATCCTTGCAGATGATATTTTCTGCAAAGTTTTCTCCCATGTGTGTTTAGCCCCTTTAGAGTAATCAACGACTTCTTCCATTTCCTTATCCTCTTCAGATTCAGTAGCAAATTCCTTCACTGAATCAGTGGTTATTTCGGTTGCTGACAGTGCAGCTTGCTCTTTTAAAAACTGAAAAGGATGTAAAATCTAGATTTGATGAAGTGAAGCAAACATAATATTTTTTCCCTCCTGAAGCTCAACAATAAATAAACATTCCCTATACAGAACAGACAGACAGACAGGACTGGCCATTTTCAGCTTTTTCTACGATTTTCTGACTGTTCACGGCTTTTAATTTTTTTCACTTCATGAATAAATCACAAATTTTGATTGGTAAGTAATTTGCATCCTCCATGCTTAACTTTGACTATAAAATCAAAGTCCCACGATGCTAACAGGTTGAACTGGAATCAAAGCAAACCAATTAATTTTTATAATTATTGACCCAGACTGGATGGAATTGAACTGTTCTCTTCCCTAGAGAATTTACACGGTCTGAATAATAAACCGGATTGATCCTAAATCTGATCATGCCACTCCCTGCTTACCCACCGGTGCCCAAACACGCACTCAGGCAAGATAGTTAATGAATGTCAGGTTTAGTTGACTTCAATGTATTTATTTATTTGTATTGATGAAAGGAAAAAATAAGGCTTGGGATAGGGTTAAAGTGAAGCCCAACATCATCATATAAAAGGTGACCAATTTGTAATAGGTGCAACCTGTTGGAGCATAGGAAGGAAAGTTTCCACATTGTATTAAGAGTCTTTTCCTTATAAATTGGTGCATGCATATCATTAGGAGAGTATCACAGCAGCCAAAGAAAAGGTGAGGAAAAAAAAAAGAGAAGAAAAAAGGTGCACGCTTGGGTTGGGTGTTTTAGATTTGTGCGGGAAATGTTGAGAGTGGGGACTGCCTTGTATTTGAAGTTTTGATTATTTGATAATTTCTCCCTCACCCGTGGTCATCGGCAAGTTTGCCAATCCACGTTATTTGTGTTCTTTTTTACTAGTTTTTTTGCTGCTTTAATTCACATGTGCTATGGCGAATAGGCAATTTGTTTCCCAACAAATAAATTTGTACCTGTTTAACTCTGCAAAAATACTTACTTTCATGATCTTGTGTCGGGCACTATGTGTTTTTGCATGTTGCAGCCACTGCTTATGTCTCTGGAAGGCTGATTTACTAGCAAGTCCCTGAAATAGCAGTAGGCAACGTCATGCAATCAGATAACATCTTTGTTTAGATGACCATTAGATAATTAAGCTAACTCGGACTTCAGAAAGATAACAAAATATCGCTGTTGGCCATTATGATTTATGATTATGGACAACCACTGACTTCCAGAATGTAGTTGAAGTTACTGGTATATTATGTAGTAATTCTAAATGAGAA